AAAAAGTTATGTTCTTAAGTGGGCGCCAGGAGTTTAACCTCACATCCAACAATCCATGTGACAGTTCACTACCAAACTCCAAATAGGAAACTATAGCATCTCCTCTACAAGGCCATCAAGCGGCTACAAATCGAGTATGCTCCTCTTATATTATATCAGTTACTTTACCATAAAAATAGATGATGACAGTTAGCAAGTGGGGATAAATAATAAGTTAAGTTCAATATATACCCAAGTTTAATAATATAAATATAAATCGTGTTGACATGGGGGGTCAACTTCGTTCACACTATGAAATATACTAATATTTACCAAATTAATAACAACTAAATCACTTAGTACATTACTATCAGATTCCCCAACTATTAACAGTAATCCAGTAACACTGGGAGTAATATTTACAACTAAAACGCTATATTAAACTTAAAAATCATTAAATGGGACTAGGGGTAATCGTAAAAATGTAACACATGAGGTGTGTACTGTATTTAGCAAATAAACAAATAATAATGTACTATTTACGGACGCTAGGGGTAAAAACATGTAAAACTCCGTTACTTATTAAAAATATTAACTACCCTTAAGAATATATCCCACAAAGAGCTCTTGGTAACGTGTTTCGGGTTTAATAAAAATGTACTGTAAACCATACACCCCTAAACCTCGTTTACATTAGGTTTAGATTAAAACACGTACTAATAACACCCCCCCCAATAAAATAAATTAAATAGTAATAAGTAATATAAAAAAATAAGATAGCAAAACTTGCGGTATACCGTGACTTCTTCCCAGCTGCTCTAGTAGACGGTTGATGTCCTACTTCGGCATACAAATCAACCTGCCTGTCGTAAAGGTTGGTAGCCCGTTAGACGATTACTAGCTGATCACAAGGAGTACTAGCTGGTCACAAGATGTGCTAGTTAGCCCGTCACAAGAAGTGTTGGCCCTTCACAAGAAGTATTAGCCCGTCACAAGTGTGGGCCTTTCATAAGGACTGATAGCCCGTCACAAGAAGTGTGTGCCCGTCACAAGAACCCTCTTTTACAGCTAAAAAAAAGGACAAAACGGTGCACCAGATCAATTGAACGGCAAATTCGTGAACGGCTTATTCAGAAAGACTATGATGTGGGCACAATGAGATTCAACACGTGGTTAAATATATCCTCCTAAGAGCTCCTACAACATGTGTTCACCAAAAAAATACTACCAAATCCACACTGTTGTAACTTAGAACAAAAAGGTTGCTTCGCAATATCCCAAATGGATTGAAACGACTTCCAATAAATTTCGAAACAGTACCTTCCAAATCAAAACCTCGTGTCGAATGTCAATCTCGAAATACCTAGGACCGGAACAAACGTCATCTGACATCTCCTAAAACAGTAATACCAACATACCTTAGTGACAGATAGGTGTCCCATCAGCGCCCTCTATTACGAAATAAATTCTTGACAGAAAGGGCTAAAATAAGCAAACAAAGTCTCTAAAACGAAATAACTAAACCCAAATAGAGGTCCTATCTACCCCAAACTGATCATATACTCACAATTAAAATCGGAGCGGAAACGCTAGACCGACATCTTAAATACAGGGCAGCCACATGCTCACCCAGAGTGTCGCAAAGGGACCCCTGAAACACCATCGACGGTGAGGACAAAAATCAGTTGTTCGAATTTCGATCCAAAAGCACAGTGGTTTAAAATGCGGGTATAGAAGGACCCATTAAATAATTATTGAACACGGAAAAAAACTAGTTTATTCCTATTTTTATGAAAAACCGCTATAAGGCCAAATTTAAACGTTACATGTTTTCCATCTATATCTAAAACTGCATTTAAAAACAAATTTCGCACACCAGGTAATTTAAATGTTGTATTGTTCCTAGAATTATAACCTTTTAATTGTGACCAGATCAGTTCAATGGGATTTAACTCTGCGTGGTAAGGAGGCAATCCCAGATTTTCAATTTCTTTTTCTCGGGCCATCTCGTCTATAATATATTTTTTGAATTTGGTGTTATGTTGCCTTGCTATTACGAGTAATTCTGTCTTCAAGGATTTAGGAGGACTGATAATATTTTTGGAATGAAGCCATTTTGAAATACCTTCTTTTTCCATCTTGTTGTAGGTAGTGACTCCATTAATCAGCTGTGATATGATGCATTATCCAAAACAATAACGGAATTGGCTCGAATTTTTTTTATAATGTTCTGAAAGCAATTTTCAAACATAGGGACATCCATTTCTTCATGGTAGTCTTTGAATCGAATATGAATAAGCCATCTATCAAAAATCCATCGGTAATTCCAATGTGGCTTACTATTAAATGATGTTATTTTCCTGTTCGATTCTTTTATCCACAAAAGACCTCTTGTTTTTTTAGTATTGATGGAGGTATCTTGTTACTGTATGTCCAGCATTAACTCATGTTGCATCTATATAAAATACCTGTTTATGCTGATTCTTTGCGTCTGCTATTTTCCTTAAGTAGTCATGTTTCCACGCAACGATTTCGTCTTTCTTTGTTAAAAAGCTATTTTTATCACGTTTTTTAACGAAAATTGAATTCATGTAATATTTTTTGAAGATGAAAATGTGATATATTTTCTATTTCTTAGTGTAATTTTTTAAGTTTATGAATTTAATTTCGAAAAAAAAAAAAAGAATGTTCTATTTGCCTTATTACATTCTTTACTCAAGTTTCAATAAAGGTCTTGTTTCTTCCTGGATTTTTTTAACCGACTTCAAAAAAGGAGGAGGTTATCAATTCGTCGCGATATTTTTTTTTTTATGTATGTTCAGCGATTATTCTTTAACACGGTGTCCGATTTCAATGATTCTTTTTTTGTTAGAAAGAGGGTAATTCAGGGGTGGTCCCATATATATTTGGTCAAAATCTAATAATTGGGTCAATGAGAAAATCATCAAACTCTTCATTACTTTATGTTTAACAATAATTCTTTAATACGGTGTCCGATTTCAATGATTCTTTTTTTGTTAGAAAGAGGGTACTTCAGGGGTGGTCCCATATAAATTTGGTCAAAATCTGATAACTGGGTCCATGAGAAATTCCTCAAATTCTTCATTTTTCATGTATGTTTAGCGATAATGCTTTACGACCTTGTCCTATTTATATGATTCTCTTTTTGTTAGTAATGGGGTACCTCAGGAATGGCCACATATAAATTTGGATAAGATGTGCTGACGGCATCTGCACGTTTTTGAAGTCGGTTTTTTTAAATTTTTAATTTAGATCACTTGTTCGGATGCGAGATTTCTCCAATAACGTTATAGCTCTCCCCGGTAAAGTACCACATATTTTTAATTTTTCAGTTGAAAAAAAGTATTAGACAACTATTACCAGAGTTAAATTAAATCACGGGACCTTTCCAGCACATTTACACAAAATAGGGATAATTGATTCACCGAATTGTCAACATGATAACTTACTTGCCGATATACCTAAACCATATAGGGGAGGGTGGCCCAAAAGGATCCCTCTAAGCTAGAAAGGTCTGTAAAACACAAAGTATACAAGAGAAGAAGTTTAAACATATTTTTTTGAAATGTGTGTAGACTGTACTTAAACATTACCCTACCAACATTTTGGTATAATAGGTAAGAAATTTTTTGACGGAAGTTATGTAGATGTTTGCAAAAGGATCGTTTTACCCTGATAGGTTGGGCAAAATGATCCTCTAAAGTAAGGCAAAATTATCCCTTAGGTAAGGTAAAATGATCCCTGTTCTATATGCATTTTAAGAGTTTCTTCGTAATAAAACAACCAATTAATGACTACCAAAATTACTTTATTTTACTAAACTAAAAGACATTAACAATAATCTAAAATCGCTGTGTAATAAAACAGCTAATAAAAGGATATCAAAAAACGACAAGACACAAAAAATCTGAATTAAATCGCAAAACAAGATGGCCTTACAAATGATCTATTAACTGTTTGCACACTCATCATGCGCTCAACGATAGCACATTGAGCACTGCACCCACCCTTCTCCTGAACGAGACTGTAGAAATGTTTCGGTACAAATAACATATTCTGTATCTTCTTCCACTTCGGATTCCTCTAAAGATTCCTCGTCATTTTTGTCCTGTTTTTTTCTTTTGTTAGTCGTATATTTTCTCACATTTCGCCTTTTATTTTTTCCTTTCGAAACTTTTTTCCTGTCAATAGTCGTATATTTTTTCACATTTCGCCTTTTATTTTTTCCTTTTAAAACTTTTTTTTTTGTCAATTTATGATTGTTTTTTTGAACTCTTTTTTCGACCTGCTTTTCCTTCTTCTGTTGTTCCTCTAACAATTGATTTTTATACGGAGTGCTTGTCAAAACTACTGTGCCACCATCAACCAACCATCTGCGAGCGAGTGGATAGCATTTATTATCATTTAGTGGTTTGTGACGAAGAGTACCTCAACGAGTAACGAGTAATTTTTATAAGTGACAGGGGCGTTCTTGGCCCAATGTTTTAATTTAAATATATGTTTAAGCATTCTTTCACACGTATGATATATCAGGCGATTAATAATAAATGAATAAACTATCGTTTTTTACTAATCTGTACTAGACAAATTTTTTTATTGTGAGTGAATCTTAGAGACACATGCTTTCGATTTTCTGTAGGCTTTTTTAAGACCTACAATTTTCTAGTAGATTGTTTTGATGTATTTCTTAAGATTAGACTAGCGTTTGGACAGAGGCAACTTTGTAACATAACTTGTAACATAACAACTTTGTTTTATACTATTATTTAGATTAATCTTGACCTCGATTTCGACCTCGCTCTAATCAATGACAGTTCACTTCCATTAACTTTTTTAAAATTAACTTTGGTCTTGCCTTTGAGTGTAACGGATTTGGTCAGGTTTAGTATGAGTAATAGTAGATGTATTGGGATTTAAATATAAGAGCATACTATTTAAATAATGTTTATTATGTAACAAAGAAAACATGTATTTATTTATACAAATATTTTTCTTTCTAGGACGAGAACTTCTACAAGAAACAAAATCTACTTTAAATAACTGCAAAAAACCATTATTAAGAGAAGAAGGAGAAAGGGAAAGTATATAATTACCAACCAACATTTTTGCAAGAAACTACTGTTCATTTTTGTTTTAGAAATCATACAATTATCAGAAGCTACAAAGCCAAATGAAGACATAAACAAGTAAGAACTAAATTATTTCATTTGCAATGAATATTTTATAAAAATATTTATTTTAACTGCGATCTTTATAATCTACAGTTTTACGTATTTAAACCTATGCTGAAAGTTGTAGTTTTTTGCGATATTCGTTATTTCCCTCTCTAATGTTCATCTAATTTTATCCATACAGAGTAAAAAGTCTAACTGGAACAAATTCTATAACTTAATAAATAAAGGTTTGTCACAAAATTCCTGAAACACGTCAATTTTTATTTTAAATGGGGCATACAACATAGAGGTTTGTTTATTTTTTTAATCATTTTAGGGGGGTTGCAGATACCCCAAATATTTGTTTAAATGAAAGGGTGATTTTTTATTTAAAATATTTTTCAATTATAAATACAATTTGTTTCTTTTTATAAGCAATGTGTCGGAAAAAATAAAATAAGGAAGTATTTACTGAAGCATCTGCTTAATACACTGGCCTGGCACCACCTGTACGTCATAGCACAAGCCGCACTGCTACTAAGTTCTCTCTAGTTTTAGATATAAGGGTTATATATTGAGTCTTATTCCTTTCCTTCTTTATATAAATGGCTTAACTAAACTTAACATTGCAACTAATCTATATGAAGATAACACTACGATTTTATGGCACAGTAATACCTCCAATCTTTATATCACCTTATCTTGGGACATTGAGAAAATCTATATACTAGTATTACTTGTTTAGTAATGCACTATGCTAAATATTTTGAGATATTTGTGTATATGATTTAGTTGTCACTAGGGTAAAGGATATAGTTATTGGACATTTAAGATTTGTTTTCCCTAAAATATCTGTAAATTGGTTATTTTCCATTTTTTCCTAACAATTTTTTTTTTTTGGAAATTTCAATTATTGTTCTTTAGGATTATATTATTTTAAATTAATTTAAACGGTTTGGATTTTTTCTAAATAATTAAAATTAAAACATTGTCAGAAAATTATAGTTATTGGACGATTTTGACAGTGATTGGACATACATTATGATAGTTATTGGACAGCCATTAAAAAATCACTGAAGAATAAAAATATTTATTTTTGGACAAAAACAAGTTACAAAAAAAATACATAGGTACTACCTATTTCCATAAAACAGAAATTTACTTATTTAATTTTATGAATTCCTTGTATTCATCATAAAGTTCATCCACTTCCAGCTCGGAATCTAAGCTATTTTTAGATTCTATAGAAGCATCACTATCAGTAGATTCTTCTTTGTAGCATACATGACAAAGAAAAATCTCATCTGTATCTTCTTTATCGACAATAAATTGCTTGTGCGTCTTTGGTATGCAGTGTTCATGAAAAAAACATTTACAAGTATCACACTGAATTCCATTATTCCCGGATCGGATAGTAAACTTACAAACAGAACATTTTGTAATTTCTTGACGCTTTTTTTTTACTTGAGATTTTCCTTTAGCAGCAGCTTCTTTTTTAACATTTAATTTTTCTTCTCGTTTTCGTTTTCTCTCTTGCTTATCTCTTTCTATTTTGTCCTTTAATTGTAGCTTTTTTTCAAACATTTCTTGACATCTTTTTGACGTTACTGCAAATGGAATTCTTTCTATATTTCTCTTCCCTTTTCTCTTAGGGCTTTCTGGTGTTGTCAAGTATTGCCCAAATATTGGTGAATCAATTATACGATGCTTGTTGCTTGTTTGTAAGACTTTGGTTAAAATATATTCAGTCGAATTTGTCGAAATATTTTCAGTCGTTTTCGTTGAAATATCTTCAGACGAAATATCTTCAGTCACTTTCGTTAAAATATCTTCAGTGTTACTTATCGAAATAATATCTTCAGTCACTTTTGTTGAAATATCTTCAGTCGTTTTCGTTAAAATTTCTTCAGCTTTATCAATTGAAACATCTTCTGTTGTATTTATAATTTTGTCTATTGGTGCATGAACCAAAACATCCACTGAGATTATGTTAATAGAATTAGTCCGTGGTGGCGGTGGTGAGTCTGATGTCCCAGAAGGAGCATAATTAATCAATTCATTCTGATCTATAATTTTCGTTTGATTTTCTTTAATAATCTCATTTTGACTATTATTTTCAGGTTGTTTATTAAAATGCTGCCAAATTTTAAAGAGAGAAAGAAAATCGTTACTACTAACGTCCGGAATGTGCTCATTTAACATTATGAATTGGGTAATTTTTTCTTCACCTACAATTTTGGCAAACGTTTCATAATCCATTAGTGGAGTCGGCAATCGAGGGTCTTCATCGGTGTTTTTTGCTATAGTTCCCTCTAAACACTTTGAGTAGTCAATTGCATTGGGATTAAATGGACAGAGTCCACATGTTCTAAATCCATTCACTAGCGTTTCAGGTTTAATACTTGAATTAAGAGCTTTTTCTAGCACAGGTGCAAAAGTAACCTTGTTGAGTACTTCTCCTGGATGTTCTTCATCCCATTGTCTAACTGTTCGACGCCAAGCCTCTTTTAATTCTTGTGGCATTTGGGTAGAGCGCAAATATCTCTATTTGCAATTCATTGCATAAAAGACTTAGAGAATAATTTAGATGTGATGTGTGTCCGTCTAAAAAAAGGATGACTGGGAACTTTACATTATTTTTTACGAGGTGCGGATGAAAAACGTTCGCTATGTATTCGTAAAACGTTTCAGTCGTCATCCATCCGTTAGCGCTGCGACCAATTCCCCATTCCGGGTTTACAGACTTTGCAATTTTTTCTGGAAATCTCATATAGGGGTAAATTATCATGGGTACACAAGTGTCACCAGAGGCTGAAAATGTAAACATCACGGTGATATTTTCTTTTGAAGATCCTCTATCAATTGTATAGACGTTTTTTGAGCCTCGCTTGGCAAATACTTTTCCAGTGCTTGGATTAATTTGAAATCCGGACTCATCGCCGTTAAAGACTCTTGAAGGATCAGATATAACATCTTCTAACCCCTTTTCTATTAAATAATTTTCGACTTCTAGAAACCAGTGTCTAATATCCTTTTCAGAAATACAAGCACTGGCTGACGTAACAGATTCGCTGGTTCTTTCTGACAGTTCATGATGCCTTCTTAAGAAAGCCTGAAAAAAAAGTTTTGTTAAATATTGTTGATTTAAACATTTTGTTAGCATACTTTGACCCAACCATCTCCAGGTCGATTATTAACAAATGGATTCTTTCGAGGATTATTATTTAAGAAGTTTTGCACACTACCCTTCAGGTCGTTTGCTTTTCTCGGAAATCCCTTACGTGCCATATCTGTTATCCATCTAAAAAATGAAATAAAAATAAAATAGATAATAAGTAACTATCTAGATAGAAATCTTACTTCACCAATGTTCTTTCTTAATCTTCAGTAAGAATGGGGGAAGGCCCATATGTACTCTTATTTTCTGGATGTTTAATTCTAAATTCGATGGTAGATTTAGGTATTCCATATTTGCGCTCAGCGGATCTATAGGATTCTGTCTTACTCAGAACATCCCGAACAGCGTTTTCTATTTTGCTTTTGTTATAGTTTTTTAATTTAGGCATTTTTATCATCTATAAATAAAAAGACAGTTATAGGACACTACGAATTTAGTTATTGGACACATGTCCAATAACTATTTCTGTTAACCTAAAAGTAGAATAAAAAGTACAGTATGCTTACTGAATTATGCCCAGATAAATGAAATACAATTTTGAGTTATTAAATTAATTACAGTTATTGGACACTTGTCCAATAACATAAATTAATCCACATTTTCGATACAGTTATTGGACACCCCATGTTTGGGTTAAAATCTTAACGTGAGGTTATAATTCCTGTAAACACTTTATTCTTCATAAAATTGTGTCACTATACCTATAGCTAAACATTCATATAAGTAAATAAAATAACTACCTAACTCGTTTGTAAAAATTATGTTATTCTAAACAAAACAGTAAACAATACGTACCTATCTACCACGTGCACTTCAACACTAACACGGAACTATCAAATCAAATTGGAATGTCCTGAGCTTTACTTCAGTAAGGTAATATAGGACGCTCTTGACATCTATCGGTCGGTAGTTATATTTCGATCATTAGAAGTCTTGTTTTTAGGATTTAGGTCGAGGATGTCCAATAACTATCTGATGTCCTACGACTGTATGCTTTACCCTATTAATATTGTATGTGAATAATATACTTTTTCTACGATCACTATCCAAAGCTTCGAAATACAACCACAAAGTTGACGTTTTCCGCAAACTAACAGTAGGTGACATCTTTGGCGCTCGGCGAGCGGAAAACTTTACAGCTTTGTTTCTCGCCTAATTTAAATTAGATATATTTTCAAGGTCCGGTAAAAATGCATCAAAAAATATAAAAAAAATCGCATTTTAATGCAATTGATTTGCGAAAAATATGCAAACGTATTTACGAAAAATGCAACATTAATAATAACAATTAATAATCCTCACTTTATATTTGTATAACGTTGGATATAATCACATTTAAATAAAACAATAGTAAGTTTTTAAGTAGGTACATACTTTATTTACCATTATTTTGAATAGGCACCTAAAATTACATAATATTTATCTAAACACTAGCATACATAAGTACCTAGTATATTAACAAATACATATCCTATTTATTGAAATTGTTAAAAGCTTTGGCAACTAAACATTTTTCAAAATTTTCGACAAGAAAGTTTTGTCTTTTATCCATAATGGGATAAAATATTTAAATTGATTCCCGTGTTTGATTCAAAGTCTCCCGAAACTTTTTTTTAAATTTGAAACCCCTCATTTTTTCTAGCACAGCGTAATATTTATTTAAAGTATTTTTCCTATTTTTAACCGACTTCAAAAAAGGAGGAGGTTATCAATTCGTCACGATATTTTTTTTTATGTATGTTCAGCGATAATTCTTTAACACGGTATCCGATTTCAATAATTCTTTTTTTTGTTAGAAAGGCGCTACTTCAGGGGTGGTCCCATATAAATTTGATCAAAATCTAATAATTGGGTCCATGAGAAAATCCTCAAACTCTTCATTTTTTATGTATGTTTAGCGATAATGCTTTACGACTTTGTCCGATTTATATGATTCTTTTTTTGTTAGTAAGGGGGTACCTCAGGGGTGGTCCCATATAAATTTGGTTAAGATATGGTGATGGCATCTGCACGTTTTTGAAGTCGGTTTTTTTAAATTTTAAATTTCTAATACTTGTTCCTTGAACTTTTTTAAATGCTTTCTTAAACAAGTTGATGTGGTAGTTGTTCATTTTTAAATAACTCTTTAGACTCTGAAAGTGCATCTAAAGAAGAATCTGTTAAAGCAAGAAATGACTTTTTTTATTGATTCGTAATGTTCCGTATAAAATAAAGTTGCATCAAGCCATGTGCCTAACCGGGTTATTATTGGTTTTGGCGGTAGAGGGATATCTGGAAGATTTTCTTTATAAAATTGGTTTCTTAGAGGAGATTTAAGAAAAACTTTTTTACTGTTACTTATTACATTATTAACGATTGAAAACTGAGATCTAATACATTCTGCAACTCTATTAATACCGTGAGCCACACACGTTATATGGATAAGGTGCTGATATTTTTTTAAATTTTGTACCACTTTAATCATATAAAGGACAGCGTCCAACAATAAAAGTATAAATTTACTAGAAGGGACAAGATATGGTAAAAAAGGTAGTGGATCCTGTACAAATCTAGTTCCAGTTAAATTGTTTCTTTTTTTAAGATGCTTGGATGATTTGAGGTGTGCTTTACCAGGTTTATCTTCATGTAGAACTTCAGTTAATAAATGTGAAATACATATTCCACGAGAACAGTTCAGCTATCGAGGCACATGGCTTTCGACATACGAACTCGTAAAGTCAATTAGATTTCGACTCTTGTCGGCGCAAACACAAATTTTATTATCATCCCAGCTCTCTCAATTCTTCTTAAAGCCACCCTTGTGACATCGTGTGGAAAGGACGACAATCTAATTGCACTAGAATACATTTCTAAGATCCTCCATTCGCTTATCAGTGTTAAGTTCTAGAGTACGATCCGTCGTAAACGTAAAAATAAAAGTAAATGAAATGAGAAAAATTTGTCTTAACCGATTTTCTTTCATTTCATATACTTTTATATTTAAAAGAAATCTAATTTATTTACATATTCAAAAGCTACCAATGTAATTTATAACAATTTTGACTATCTGTTTCTTATAACTTAAATAGGTTTGCCTATACCTATACAAATAAATAAATCATAAAAATTTCAGTTTAGTCTCATTTTCAAAATCTATTTATCGTTTTTTATTTTCAGCAAAACTTCAACACTCTCGTTACTGAAGTCTCCGAAATTTTTAAACATTGTCATTGGATGTGCCATCTGTTTCAGTTCAGACAATTTATTTATTGGTTTAATTCGTCTCGTTCTTAATGATTTAGGATTTAATATTTTAGACATAGCTACAATGAGTATGGTGCACTTCGCATGTGACCTCGTTTCAAGAATTATCTATGTCGTTGTAAGTGCTTTATATCCAATCAAAAATCGGTATGTGTTCTTTGTTGGAACGCTGGTTACCATTGTTTTTAGAATAGGTAGGTTATTTTGTAGAAAAACTAAGTGTACTGATTTTAAAGCTGGGGTAGAATTCTCAAGTCTCGCATGAAAATTGTCGCACGCGGTAAATGTCGCATAACAAATTCGCATGGTTGTTAAAAATCGTATTATCGAAAAAGAGTGAATCTAAAATCATAAGCGAGAAATAACACGAAGGATTTTATGTGACAACGTAGGAAATTATGTCAACTGTCAACATTTTATTTTTGGTTTTTCCTTTCTCCTGGGCTCGTCCGACTATGTGTCTCCGAATAACACTGAAGCCTATTGGCTTATTGTGTTTTACCCCATGTTAGTTCATAGCACCCACTCTGTCATCTTTGTACCTTGTACAAGTTTGTACAGATCCTTGAGTGAGTGGGTTCTATACGTTGTTGGATTAACCTGGGGTTGTCCAAAAAGAGTCTGTCTTTTGCGATCTAGAGCTTCGCATTCGCACAGTATGTGTTTGACCATTTCTGGTTTCTTGTGACATAGGCGGCACATGAGTTCCCCATTGTACTTGCCAATTTTATTCAAGTGTCCCTTTACTGGGGCGTGCCCAGTCATGAACCCTGTTATCACTTTCAACTGGTTCCTATTCATTAAGAGTAGTTCTCCAGTTCTTTTGGGACATGGTCTGCCTATGAAGGCTTTTCTATGTGCCTGTTTTGGGCTGCTTCCCCAATAGCTGATATGTTGTTCCCGAATCTAGTCGTTTATGAAAACCTGGACTGTACTTTTAGGTACTCCTGGGTTTGTGTCTGGTTTCGGTCTTTCTTCTGACCCTCTTTTTGCGAGTTCGTCAGACTTTTCGTTGCCTTCGATCCCTTGGTGACTTGTCACCCAAAATAGTTTCACTCTATTTCGGTCTACCAGTGTTCTTAGTTCTTCGATGCTTTTCCATACCAGCCTCGAGGTAACTTTCTGACTCGATATGGCCTTAAGTGCCGCTTGGCTGTCTGACAATATTTGAATATGCTGATTTTCGACAGCTCTGACATTGTTCGTTTTTGCACATTGCAAAATTGCGTATACCTCAGCCTGAAATACCGATGAATATATTCCTATAGCATAGCTATGATTAGTATCAGGGTTTTTGGGGAATACTCCTGCCCCAGTGCCTTCCGCAGTGTTAGACCCGTCTGTATACCAAGGTTTGTTCCTGTCGTTGGGCATTGGGCTCCCTTATGGTGATCTCCGCTCTTTCCTGTATTAAAACCTCAAATGGAGTAAGTATGTGGTCTGATCTCATGTCTAGCACGTCTTATGTCACTAACCTTGAGATACTCACATGACCTGACCTAATGTCAAGATTTCCCAGTGTATTTCCTAATCTGTTAGCACCTAATCTTGCCTCCCCTTGTATCACATAGTGAAGAGGTGGGAGTCCTATTAGTGCTTCCTTTGCAGCAGTGGGGGTTGTTTTCATTGCCCCCGTTATTCCAAGGCAGGCAAGTCTTTGTACCTTCCTTAGCCTCGTTATTGCTTTCTTTTGCTGTGTCTTTGGCCACCACACCAAAGCTGCTTATGTTATTATCGGTCTCACCACCATGTTATAAAGCCAATATATCATGTCTGGTTTTAGCCCCCATTTTTTTTTTCAAAGGATCGCCTTGCCATCATTAACGAGGTTTCCGCTCTCCTTGTGGTTCTTTCTAGATGCTGGTTCCAGGTAAGTCTCGAGTCAATCATAACCCCGAGATATTTTACCTCTTCCTTAAGCTGGATGCTTGCACCTCTTAGGTTTAGAGGCCCTAGTCCCTCCAATGTCCTTCTGTCAACATGTCACTGTTAACATTAGTGGGTGTTCTGTGTTCTGTTTATTTATTAAAACCCCTCTATGCTAAGAAATTTAGACAATTTTAAAGCAAATAGGTGCGATTTTTTTTTCTATAAATATGGAAGAGCACCAATATTACAATGCAAACCAGAAAACGAAATATTAAAATATGTCACAAAAACATCCTGCTGATACTCTACTTGGAGGCGTTATAACTAGGGATGCGCAAATTTTTTAAAACATCGATATTGACATCAAATGATACATCGAATACAGACTATCGATATTGTAAAAAAATCGGAAAAGGAAATATCGATTTTTCTAAATATCGATGTTCGATTTTTCATACATTGATGTCTGTAAACATCGATGTTTTCCAAAAGCATTCATTGAAGAGCAAAAAAAAAGGAAAAAATGAATTCAAACTATCAATTGAAACGTGGCGCTAAACAAAAAACCAAAAAACATTAAAAAAAAATCATCGATGGTAATTGAAAAATCAATGTTAACAAATAGCATCGGATAAAAAAACTCGATGTTAACTATTAACATCGGATTAAAAAACATCGATGTTCAACATTGATAATCGAAATCTAAAAATCGATGTTTTTTAAACATCGATACATCGTACGCATCCATAGTTATAACATGCTATTTACAATTTATTTATCAAGAGTCGCGTTAATTCATAGAAAGTCGAAAAAGATTGGTAAACAACACATCATTAATTCAAAAGGGATTTTTATAAATAAACTTCTTCCCTCTATGCTGTCACTCTTTAATAATGTATTGATTTTCAACAGCCACCAAATGTTATATAAGACATTTGTCTTATTCTGTTTTCGAGAATACGCTTTTTTAAAATCATCTATAGTTGCTATTCGACATTTCACTAATCTCGCATGCGAATCGAGATATTGGACATTCGAGAATACTACCCCTTCTGGCCTTGTAAACATTCGTTTTCCTTATTTGGTTTCCGAATTCGAAAATCGGCAAAGAAATTCCGTTAATGTATCATAGAAATTCGATTTTATAACTAATCTAAATTCCGAACGCAAAAGATAGCTTTCAAAACTGAACGTAACTCGAGAGACATTAAATTGATGGTTCTTACCTTATCGAAACTGAGGTCCCGACGAGCAAACACGTATCATACAAGGAACGAGAAAATATTTGATTTTGAACGAAATACCAAAAGACGATAAAAACTATTAGGACGTTGAATTTTCAAGTTTCTGAAGCATTGGCGTTACTTAGGCTAAACCACGTAGATGGTCTTTGTTGACCTATGTTTTTTAAGTTTCGCCTTTTAATTAGGATTTACAAATTGTTTAATTTATATAAAAATATTTATGCATTTTTCCTCTTAAGCCTGATGTTGTAAAATATTGGGACTCTTACCTCTTTAATCTGTTTATTTAAAAATATTTGGTCCCGAATATTTTTCTGTATTTGGTATTTGCAAAAAAGCAGCGATATCTTTCTCTCTTTTGGTAAATTTATTAATAGCAATTCTTTGGGTAGTGCATTTACTTTTCTGATAGTTTTAAAATAGTAAATCACTTAAATTATGAGTTTGATACCTACTGATGTATTTCTTACAAATTATACAGGGTTGGCCAAACCTCTGTCGTAGTTCTATAACTCCTACTATGCAAATCTTAACGATTTATTTGATGTATACCTGTCAATGGTGGCCAATACCAAATATCCCAAAATTATTTTCTTGTGTACAGGGTGGCCCAATAGTAAATTAGGCAAATCACTTAATTTTTTTTAAATGGAATGACCCAACTTTTTTTACAATTTTAGGTACTCTATGGTTACTAGTACATACCCACAAAATATTGTTTCTAACATCCCACCCCTTTCGCAGAAAAAAAAATTACCAAAAATATTACATTTTCAGACGCCTATTAAAATATGCAGTGCTCTCTCGAATTTGATGTTAGAATTTAAAAAACTACGATTGTATAAATCCAATAGACCAAAGATTTTTTTGGACCAAGTTTGAATTTTTTATTTTGTACAGGGTGGTCACAAATTAATTTCACTTTCCAAAAATTTCGAGGGAAATTTTTTAAAATTTTTCAAATGTATTACCCTGTATTTCTATTCATCAACTGAAGGAGAATTTCATACCCTTCCACTTCCCTATGTACTTTCCTATACCTATCTGTCGCCGTTATAAAATAAATTCAAAAGGAAGAAAATTACGATAATAAAATTTATTTGAAATTTATCCTAAGACATAAATTTACATTTTATAAAAGATGCTCAAAATGTCTGCCATTTTCTCTAATGCATACATTTATTCGTTGGGCGAATGATCGAGAAACGTTTCTAAGCATATCAGGTGTAATGGAATGGAAAGCTTGCACTATCCTTTCTTTCATATTTTCAGGTGTTGTAGGTGGCGTAAGACTAGATTTTTAATATAACCCCACAAAAAATAATCGGGTTTTGTTAAGTCAGGTGATCGAGCTGGCCATTTTTTTGGACCATTTCTACCAATCCGTCTATTTGGAAACTTTTCATCTAATTCATCTGCCACTTCGCGTAAAAAATGCACTGCTGCCCCATCATGTTGGTACCACATTGTTAGTCTTACAGCAAGGGAAATGTTTTCAAGTAAAGTAGAAAGATGATTTGCTAAAAAATCTAAATACATCAGACCATTTAAGTTGCCTTCAAAAAAATACGGCCCAATAACATGATCCCCAATTATACCTCCCCAAACATTTACACTCCATCTTTCTTGGCTATGTGTTCTGATGATGTTAGGATTTTCCGTGGAATAATAGTGGAAATTATGTCTATTAACGAATTTCTTCTTGTGGAATGTAGATTCATCAGAAAACAGCACTCTATCAAAAAAAAATGGATTTTGTTGCAGTTTAGTTTGTGCTCAGTTACAAAACACCATTCTATTATCAAAATCGGTGTCTTTCAGCTCTTGATGCAATTGTATTTTATAAGGATGATATTGATGCTGTTTTAAAATCCTTCTAACGGATGTTCTACTTATACCTACTACTTCGGCAATCTTTTTTTGACTTACATGAGGATCTTCTATCGCTGTCAAAATTACAGATAATTGGTTATCATTATCAGTAGCACGTTTGTCAATTATTGGTTTTTTATAAGCAACATTTCCTGTTTCGGTAAATCTTTCATGTAACTTTTCAAAACTTTTTTGATCAGGGATGCGTCTATCGGGATATCGTTAATGATAAATTCTTTTTGCCAATAAACAATTTCTGTCGGATTCTCCCAAAACATAGACCATGTCAATTAATTCGTTTAGTTAAGTCATTATTAATAGAATAATTATCGCGATCAGTAAAAATAACTTGACACTTTATTAATAAATAATCTGACACTTCATTAAGACCCAGCCTACTTGATTGAATGTTCACTTTCAATAAAACCACTGGTAGAAATTGGATTTTTGATAGATCAATGTCTTTTTGGAATTTACTTTTAAACGACGACAGATAGGTATAGGAAAGTACATGGGGAAGTCGAAGGGTATAAAATTCTCCTTTCATCGATAAATAGTAATACAGGGTGTTCTATTTGAAAAATTTGAAAACAATGTCCTAGAAATTTTTGGAAATTGAAATTAATTTGTGACCACCCTGTACAAAATAAAAAATTAAAACTTGGTCTAAAAAAATCTTTGGTCTATTGGCTTTATACATTTGTAGTTTTTTAAATTCTAACGTCAAATTCGAGAGAGCACTGCATATTTTAATAGGCGTCTGAAAATGTAATATTTTTTGGTATTTCTTCTTTTTCTGCGAAAGGGGTAGGATGTTAGAAACAATATTTTGTGGGTATGCACTAGTGACCATAGAGTACCTAAAATTGGAAAAAAAGTTGGGTCATTTTATTTAAAAAAAAATAAGTGATTTGCCTAATTTACTATTGGGCCACCCTGTACACATGAAAATAATTTTGGGATATTTGGTTTTGACCACCATTGACAGGTATACTTCGAATAAATCGTTAAGATTTGCATAATAGGAGTTATAAAACTACGACAGAGGTAAGGGCAACCCTGTATAAAAATAATTATTATCCACTGCTTTGTGCATGTGACCCTGCAGGAGGGTTTTAAATCTGTCAGAGCCCTTCTCATTTATTATGTTTTTATATTTTTTTTAGTATTTGTGTTACATGACAACTATTTGTGGCGAATATTGAGTTTAGCAATTTTGGGTTTTGCTAGATGTTGCATACAAACTCCATACTCTCTGGTATTGTCTGAAGAATATCGTGACGATTTTTCTACTGCACTTGGTTTATTTATGTTAGCTAGTGGTATAATTTCATTAATACTGGGACAAATAACAAGTAAGATACATTTTATTATATCAAAAATTATCATTTTTATTACACAAAACCGAAATGTGAACACAAAAATTTAATGGTGTGATTTAGAATTTGCATCATAGTCGTACGATGCATTCAAATTTGAAAGCTCTTAAAAATTATTTTAAATACATTTTCAAAAATGCCAAGCTGCTCGCAAAGTTTTTTAACTGCAGAATATAAGCGCAAGTTTGCAAATTAATTTGTAATGTACTGTGAGGAATTTAGGAACTACGTGGTATTCTCAGATGAATCTTCTAGCAGTGAAACACTACGAGTTTATCGCCCTAGAAACTTAAGATTCGAAGAGCATTATTCGTTGGTGCTACTAATACTGCATTAACGGTTTTGGAATGGACTAGCAAAATAATTGGACGAGCATTATATAAACATCTAAGGAATGGTAAAATCTATTAGATTAAGGTTTAATCACTCCCTATAGTATAGTCTTATTTGAACAAGATTAATATGAACGATAATCCCAATTATGTAATTTTAGATAAATTGTTACAAATTTCAGGCATCCAACAACCTATCAATTTAAGTTACTTATTGCTATAACCATTGTTTTGTCTATTATAGTAAAACTTTTTGGAGTGTAGAGGTAAGGATAACTATCTTTGTATACAGAAAGTGTCCCTCAAAATGTATAAAATTAAGATGGCGCTTCTGTACTAGAGGGACGTTGACAGTCAATAATTTAGGTCACACGATCGTTAAGATGACTTATTAATAGCTTATAATAGTCTTGTAAAGCCTTAAATAACAGGTTGTCAATCATAACCCCCTAAGCCATAAGACATCTTTAAGACGTCATATTAATGGCTTATAATGGTCTTGTGAAGCTTTAAATAAGCCATAAATAAGACGTCTTTAAGACGACTTATTAATAGCTTATAATGGTCTTGTGAAGCCTTAAATAAGACGTCATTAAGAGGTCTTATTAATGGCTTATAATAGGCTTGTGAAGCCAAAAATAGGACGTATTTAAGATTTCTTATGAAGGAAGGACGTCGGATATATTGGTTATTAAAAAGTAGAACAACCTTGCAGGTTATAAAGAATGCAAAAAAAAGAATTAAAAATATTTATTGATAAAATATATATTAATCACAGGTCACTAAGAGTTGTTTTATTTGTAGCGCATTTGATCACTCCTCTTTAGCCATAACTGGATTAATTTTTCTCTTTGAATAATTTAGAATAATTTTATTAACTATTTTACAAGTCATTATGTTTATAGCAAGTCATAGGTGGTAACAGAATTTGAACAATATAAATAAAACATTAATTATTAGAGTACCAGAATTTGAACAATGTAAATAAAAACAATAATTATTAGGTACTTATCAAGGTTAAAATTGTGATGAGGCAGAGTGACAGTGAGATGTCTCACACAGACCGAAAATGAGCTACATAATCATTGACAGAGTAAAAACAATGTCTCAATAGATATTTTTTTAATGTTTTTTTAAAAGCATTATTACTTAAATTTTTAAAGTTCTGCGGTAATATGTTAAATAAGTTATAATTTACGGAATTTATTTCAGATAGACATAACCCAAAACGAGTATTTCTAACACAATGTGAATTACGTGTCTTGTAATTATGAATATCGGACTGTTTCAGCAAAACAGACTGTTTCCTATGAATTTCAACAAGTGTATTATGTAGATATAAAGTAGGTAGTGGCATAATTTTAAATTTAAATAAAATGTTGTTGACAATGTTCTCTGAATCCAATGTTAGCCATAATTCTGATAGCTTTTTTTTGCATCCGGAAGATTTGAATAGATTGAGAAGAGTTTCCCCAAAGTGGTACACCATAGCTGACATGCGAGTGAAAGAGAGATAAATACGTAGTTTTGAGGGTATTTAAGTTGGTAAGTTTTTTCAACTGCCGAAGAATAAACAAAGAACTAGAAAGTTTTTTCTTTAACTGATTAATGTGGGCCGACCAATTGAGTTTGTTATCCAATGTAATACCAAGTAATTTTACGTTTTTTGTTTCACATTTTGAGATAATTTGATGATTGGCAGATATCTGCATATTTTGAGATTTTTCACTGTTAAGTTTTAATTTGTTGGTTGAGAACCATGTGTTTGCTTTGTCCGCAATTTCATCAAACGAAGAAATTAAATTTTTATTATTTTTGTCTGTTAAGATGAGTGTTGTATCAATAAAACTGATTTATTAGGTAGCATAAAACGGCTTAGCTTTTCCAGTAGAATATCATGAGAGACGCAGTCAAAAGTTTTTGACAGATCGCACAACATTACTACTGTGTGATTTCCCTGCTCAAGTTCCTCAACTACATCCATGGGCGTCGTTACAAAATTTTATAGGGAGGGGCAAAATTTAAAAAAAATTAGAATGTCCATTTGTTGGAAAACAAAGAAGGTGTGATATAAAAAAAATAAGAAGAAGACACAGCCATAAACAATAATAAAAAAATATATATAGAACAAATATTTATAGAGACACGAAAACATAAAAAAACTCACTCAAACACGTCGACAAACACAAAGACTTTAGGAAAACGCATATTTAAAATTTCTTCTTCCTCTACCAAAAATATAGATAACAGAAGACATATTTCCTTTTTTGTTCTCTGTACACTCATCATGTATAGCCCAGTCCCAGTCACCTATTTTCATTCATTGTATACCGCAACTATGTTCAGCTATATCATTGACGGAGAGCTCATTGTGTGCAGAAAGCTCTTTCGTAGTCCAGTTAGCTATTCACGTTGGATATTCAGCTTCAAAATTGTCGATTCGAAATTTGTCCACTATTTTCATTTTCTGATCGGTATAGTAAAAATATTATTTTTTGTCTTTCGGATGTAACAGGCTTAAAGAACCTATAGTACCTACCTAACAAAATATCAGTAATTCATATATTACACGTTGTTGATTAAGTCGTAAAAGCCAGGGAGGGGCAACTGCCCCCCCTTGCCCCCTTCAAACGACGCCCATGACTACATCATTCACAACATTAAGAATAGCCTGTGTAGTAGAGCGAGAGCGTCTAAAACCATATTGGGAGTTGCTGACTCACATAATTGTGTTTTAATAACTTTACCAAATATTGAAACAATACTTATGGGACGCTAGTTATTAATTTTCGAGACATCATCTTTTTTGAAAATTGGTAATACTTTAGAGTATTTAAGTACTTCAGGAAATATACAAGTGGATAAAATTAAATTAATCAGTTCAGTAAACGGTTTTATTATAACATTGCAAGTCTCTTTTAAAATTTTACTATTGAGTTCGTGAGTGTCAACACATTTAGAATTTTTTAGAGAAGTAATTGCGTCAAAAACTTCAGTCTCAAGAACAGGGCGGAAGAAAAATGAGCTACAGGTCATAGGAAAATGTCTAAAACTCAGAAGTTCGGCATCCGAAACATTAGGAAGAGATTTATGATATTTGCAGCAGTTGTATTAAAAAATGTATTTATTTCATTTGGTGTTAAATCAGGAGTTACTAGATTTCTTTTTAAATTGTTTCTTTCGAAATTGATTATACAGCCAAATGTGGCAGTCGCTATTTAGGTATCGATATTAGCACTCTTTAGGCATGTGTGCATATATTATGTAAAGCCAATATAATAACCAATGGAATCAGTCTAAAAGTTTTATTATAAAAATCAACTTGTAACAATAATAATTATGGAAACAATGAATACAATAATACGTAATAGAAACTACAATGGAAACTATCTTTGCATAATTATTTTTTATAATCAAAATAAAAGTTACAGTTATTTAAATTATTAAACTGGAACTTTATTTCGTTATTTAATGGAATAGTTAGTTGCTCTGAAACATTAGAAACTACGTTTGAATGGATGCGTCCATTGTTAGAATCGATGTTTGTACCGATGGCGATGGGTTCATTGTTTAAATTGAAAATTTGTAATGTATTCTCCGATATATTATATTTATTATTGGCTGCTGTCCCAGCTTTTTGAGGTGCACCTACTGCAACTTCATTACCCAATATTTTTCTTGAAATTTCTATTTTATTTCTTATAGACTGTTCAACATATCCTTCTGCAACTAGGTCAGAACGCCATCCTCCATGTCTTTTTAATATCGATAAATCAGCGCCTGCTTCCGCCAGCAAAGAGGCAGAGGATCGTCTAAAACTATGTCCAGTATAGTCTCCCGCATTTTCTAAGCCAAGAAACTCTGCTATCTTCTGAGGCATTTTGGAAAATGTGTTAAAACCTACAGGCTGTACCGTGCATTTTTCATTTTTATAGTTTAGGAATAGTCGTATATGTGGTACATTTTGCGGGCGCAATTTCTTATATTTCTGAAACACATCAATTGCATTGATATTATTGCTTCCATTGACAACAGTGAATATTCTTTCTTTGTAAGTTTTAGTGTCGGGAATTTTCACCACTAATACACTTCCTCTGTCGTCAACATTATTAGTGGACATCGCTACCAGTTCGCAAATTCTGCAGCCTCCTGAAACTCCCATTATCAAAGCTACTTTAAGCAGTAAATACTTGTCATCAGGAGCAGTATCTAAAAATTTTTCGACGTCTTCTCTGCTAAATACATTTGATTTCTTTGGTCTATATCCCACTGATTGGTTCTTTAAAAATGCTTTCACTTGGTGAAATCTGAAAAAGTAACCTTTTATTAACTCAAACGTCTATTTTTTAATATAATTTAAAAACCTACTTGCTTGTGTCCACATTTTCTTTAACGGACAACATCTTCTTAAGTTGCGAATAATAGGACCATAATGACAAAGACTTCACATTTTTTGATTTTTCAGATATGTATGCCATTATTATCTTCTCGTTAACTCCTTTAACCTGCTTTTTCTTTCGCCATTGGCAAAAAAGGATATACTCCTTCTCGTAAAATGATTTAGATTTATTGGGTACTATTTTTGCTAAAGCCTCATTTGCTGAATTTAACACTTCTTCTGGAACAAGTTCTTCGTTCACAAAATCTAAGATATCCATTTTTCCAAAATTTTAAACGAAAATTAACTCTTTTGTCGATGTTTTATATCGTAGATTTTAGTCAATAACAGTAATATTCAACTAACTATAAACAAAGTCTAAATAAACAAGCCCCGACAACGCCTAACAACCAGACTTAATATAAATTGCACCGACTACTTGTCAATTACATTGCCATAAATGGTTGTCAAATACAAAATTAAATTTAAAAAACACATATATTTTGATCTAAAAATATCAAAATTGGATAAAATATTGTATACGCCTCGTGAGTTAATTAATTTTTATTCGCTCGGAAGATCGCTCGCCTAGCGGCTCGCGATCTAATTTCTTCTCGCGAATAAAAATTAATTTAACTTACTTGGTGTATAAATATCTATTATTTGCGCCTCGCTTTTCGTCATCTGATTTACATATGGATGCAATCTAGATGACTATATCATTGGATATTTCCCTTCTAGTACACGAGCGACATCTTAATTTTATACATTTTGGTGAACACTTTTTGATATAAACAACCACATAAGATTGTCCTCCTTTCTTCTATACTCCATAACCTAAATTAATTAAAGAGCAGAATGAACAATATTTTTACAAAATACTTAATTGGGTGTATTTATTTTGGTAAGGTCCAACGAACGGTATGAAACCAAGCAACATTTGAACTCGAGATGACTATTCTAAAACTTGCGAACTTGCCATGAGTCAAAAATATTTCTATTGTTGTTTATTCTGCCAAAAATGCTAAGCCAATCAATTTTATTATGTTTTATACTGCGCAGGAATGATAAAGTATTTCGGCATTAATTGGATATTTCCAAACAAAAAAATTACTTAACCCTGATTTTTCTTACTAAGGAGATCTGGCAACAATTTAATTAATCAATTTTCTTCCTTTTCAGATTATGTGAAGAATTTCACAAATAATGATGCAATGTTTCTACAAGTATTTACTGTCGCAATGATCATAACTGCTATTTCATGGAGTATAGAATTTATTTACAGACTAATAAAGAAAAAATAATTGTTGGATTTTAAAAATAAATGTTATGTTTCAAGATTTATTTCATTATATTTTTAACCATTTTATTTTAAAGAAAATAAAAATGTTACTTTTAATTTAATAAATACATTTTTCTACCTCTGTGCTTTGATTTGAAATCTATACGTAAAATATAATTGATGGTTTATAATTAAACCATTGATTTAAAATGTACCTATAGATATTAAAGTAATTTCCAAATAACAAATTACTTCAATTATATTTTTACTAGTAATCTCTTTAGAGCTTGGATTGTTACCAGACATTTTTGGTCATTAATTAAAGATCGTGAAAGATTCTGTAAGAAAAATTCACACCAAAATAAAACTAATAAATTAAAAATAGTGACATTTTAATTTTGAAATATACGAAACTAAAATTGTGAAGTACACGGAAAAAAAATTGTAGAACAAATTTCTACAATCATAGATTTTTTCTCTACAATAAATAGTACATATAGGGACAGGGACAATTTGTAGTAAAAATTTCCAAATATTTGTGGAGAATGTATTGTAGAGTTATTATCTACAATATTTAGTAAACACATCCAAATGCATCATAAGAATTGTTCTACAAATTGTTATAATTTTTGCTATTCATTGTATGAATTTATATTAAAAATGTATTGCGTTTTATAAAAATAAATACGAAAATTTTACACAATAAATAGTAAAAATTCATACAAATTGTAGTAATTTTTAATAAAACTTGTAGTAGTATTCCATAATTATTATAATTATAACCTAGAAAAAATGTTCCTTAATAAAATATTCAATTTATTGTTTTAATATAAAAGATACAAAGTCTAAATAACAGTAATAATAGCACCCTCAGTCTCAGTTGGCTTTTCTGCACCTGAAAAATATGAAATAAAAATTAATAACAATTGAACTATTCATACCCTTTAAACGGGGATATTTATCACCTTTACACTGATGTGGATATTAAATGACTAAGTCAGATAACTAACAAAAATGAGAAAGTTGGTATGTCACAATTAAGACAAAAAAACATCATTGAACTTGGCACAAAATTCGATCGTTGGACACAACATTCGATCATTGGCCACAACTATTTTTTTAAAATAATCTACTAAGGTTATTTAAATTAGTTATCTAAAGGTAAATTATTCAGAAACAATAATAAATGTACTTACCACCAATAGAATTTATTATTAAAATTTTCTCAAACGCTTCGGTGCTTATAATATAATAATGTGTTATAGGTACTCGTATATATACCATGCTTTGTTATGTGAACATGGCGAATGGCTACTGCTGCCTGGCCATTTATGATCGACGTCAGAAAACGTTGGCCAATAGCAGAATTCTGTTTTGTTCACATGACTTAGAATTTCTACAATATTATAGAATATTTTTGAACAAATTTGAATTTTTTTTATAAGAAGGGATGTAAATTATTACTATTTTTTGTAGAGAAAATTACTATTTTTTGTAGAGATAATTATTAATATTTGTATAAATTTTTTCAGAAGTTAGTAATAGTAATTACGATAATTGTAATAAATTTCTACTTCTAGAAACAATAGTAAAATATACTAAACATTGTGGACTTCTTTCCTATTGTTGTAGAATTTTATTCGACAATTCAATTGCTACAATAATGAATAGTTTTTAACTATAAATTGTAGTAAAATTTTCTACAAATTGTTAAGTATTTTTCTACAAGTCTACTACTACAACAACATTGTAGTAAAATTTTCTAGTCACATTTTTTTCCGTGTAGGCTTTATATCTGTCAACAAACCTTAACAAACCTGTTAAAATTAACGGAAGATTATTTTTCATAAAAATATTTAATATTAGACGTTCTTGTTTGATCTTATGTCACGCCATACTTAATAAGGTGAATTCCTTGAATTTTAGTTATGCATGAATTAATCGCAGATAAACAATACTCTAAACCAGTGGTTCTCAAACTTTTTTGGCAACGGAACCTTTTTGAAAAGCGAAATATTTGACGGAGCCATACACACATTTCTAAAAATAAAAAAAGGTCCTCAAGCAAAGTTATATCCTCCGTCCTAGTAGTGACTACTAAAAAAAGATCCTCAAACAAAATCATATCCTTCTTCCTTCTATTGACTTCTAAAAAAAAAGTCATCAAGCCAGGTCCCTCCCTTTTGTGGCAATAGTACTGCTTCTTTTTTTTTTGATTATGACTATTATTTGTACACTTTGTACATCACTGCTCTAAACTATATTATAATTCATCTGCTAACTACTAGAAATAGTGTTAACATGGGAATTCATCAGTTATAAACGCACTGGACCTGAAAGACGAGGGATTATTGGTTTTAGCTTTTACTAAATAAAAAAGAAGAAAGTGTAATCGAGATTTTAAAATTCATTTTAAAGCTGGTTTTTGCTCCAAATATCGGTATAGTTATAAGAATCTTGCTTACACTTCAAATAATTGTGGAAAAAGAAGTTTTTCCAAATTAAAATTAAATAATTTTTTTACGCTCTAAATCTACCGAGCATCGGCTGCTAAATGGCTTGACAATATTAGCCATTGAATTATTAAAAAATGATCAAAATATGATCAAAAAATTATCAAAAATTATCAAAAAATTATCAAAAAATTATCAAAAAATTATCAAAAAATTATCAAAAAATTATCAAAAAATTATCAAAAAATTATCAAAAAATTATCAAAAAATTATCAAAAAATTATCAAAAAATTATCAAAAAATTATCAAAAAATTATCAAAAAATTATCAAAAAATTATCAAAAAATTATCAAAAAATTATCAAAAAATTATCAAAAAATTATCAAAAAATTATCAAAAAATTATCAAAAAATTATCAAAAAATTATCAAAAAATTATCAAAAAATTATCAAAAAATTATCAAAAAATTATCAAAAAATTATCAAAAAATTATCAAAAAATTATCAAAAAATTATCAAAAAATTATCAAAAAATTATCAAAAAATTATCAAAAAATTATCAAAAAATTATCAAAAAATTATCAAAAAATTATCAAAAAATTATCAAAAAATTATGGTTCTATTATTTGTTTTACTAGACTCTTAATATATGCATTTTATATACTAACTTCCGTCGTCTCTTTTTTTGTGCAGACTTAATTTCAATTTAGTTCCAAAATTATAAATCAAGAAAATTGTATTTTTGGTAAATCAAAACTTCAATATTTTTAATACCAATATTTTTGCTAACGTTTTATTTTACTACTAAGCACATGAAGGGTTATCTCTTTTAATTTTTGTTATAAAGGCATGGCATTTTACCTTTTTTGCAGGTATTAAAAAAATAAGGATGTTGGTAAAATAGTTTACAGTTGGTAATAAAGGATGTCTCGAAAACAGCAAAAGTATCAAACATTCATTGTGATTATGGTAGGCATTTAACAAGTTACATCCCACATACCTACATGCTGTGGGTAATTAATCCTATAAGTACTTATACACATAGAAAGAGTCATATGGAGAATGTGTATCTTACTGTTATAGTTCACATATTTCTGTAATTTTTTAATAATGTGCTGATATTTCAAACTTTTAGTACCCACTGATAAAATTAGCCTCTTTAAACTGTCTTAGCACATACATTATTTATGCAGGGTGTCCCATTAGTGCGTAAACAAGTTTCAAATAAAAGTTATTTGAATTTAAAAAATACAAATTCTAAAATTTTTGGGATATGCAGGGTGTTGCGTTTTCGACCGGCAAATAAAAATGTATATTTTTTAAATTAAACACCCTGCATTTTATTTCAGTTTTAGAATAATTTGGTAATACTGTCTTCGACCCTAGAATTTTTTTATTACAGGTTGTCAAGCAATTATTTTTTTTATGAAATTAGAGAATGATGCAGTCCCCAAATTAAAATATCATAATTTAGGTAGATTTACATTGATCTTAAATTTGGTTATTAAACAGACTTATAAGATATTAAACTAACGAATAGTGGTGAGGGAACTCGTATATTTTATACAGAGTGATCTGAAACATGTCTTAAATATGGCTAATTTTTAGTTGAATTTACTCAATTTTTTAAATGTAACGCCCTATCCTATCCAACGATACCAACATCTTAGCCAATATCAAAATTTACAGGGTGTCACATCGGTGCGTAATTGATCGATAGCTGTTTTATTATTGAATATACAAAAAATAAATAATAAAAAACGTTTTATGACCATATTTAAAAATTATTCCTAAATATGTAGGGTGGTTCATAAACGAGGTACTATCCAAACCTGTACTCTTGTTAAGCAGAACACCCTCCAGGTACTTATACATATTTGATTGTTTTTACATTGTCAAAAAATTATAATTGACTTTATTCATTTGCTATGTTGTATATAGGGTGTGTCAAAATGCAAGGTTATGATTTTCTTATTTTTTAAAATGGAATACCCTGTATGTTATATCACCAATTACACCGGGTATTCCATATAAAAAAATTGAGAAAATCGTAACTTCGCGGTTTAACATACCCTTTGTTCAACATAGCAAATCAATGAAGTCAATTAAAATTTTTTGACGATCTGAAAACAATCAAATATGTATAACTACCTGCAGGGTGTTTTGATTTGGTCAGCATCTCGTTTATGAAACACCCTGTTGTATATTTAGGAATAATATTTTATTTGACATATTTTAGAATTATTCAATTATTAGTTTTTTTTTTAATTTTCAATAATTTATGAATTTCACTTTTTTTTATTTAAAAATTAAATTTGTTTATTAATTTAATAGTATTGTACAAACAATAAATAATTATTGGGTTGAATATATCAATAAAGAACGTTTTATTACATTTTATTTATTTTATTTTGATTGAATTTTTAATATACATCAATTCTAACAATTTGGGTAGATTAGTATTGACAAACGTTTTCTAAAATTTCTACACTTTTCTCGCAAGACTTTGTCTTTCACTCAATGCTCCTTCGATGGCTTCGTATGATTTTGGGGGATATCATTTTTCTGCTGTTTTTTGTAAAGGGTATGTAATATAATACAAA